TACACTGCTTCACCATTGTCAATTCTGGGTCACGGAAAATCTGGATTTTCTTCGAGACGCGGAAAGATGTATGGTTTTTCTGATACGGGTCACTTGGAGTATTACAATTACAACAATAAGTCTTCAGGGATAATAAGGTGTGGAAAAAGGGAAACTATTAAGGAAAAAGAGACGAAAAAGATTAAGAACAAGTTGAAATTGCTCAAGGGGTTGTCGAAGGATTTGTCTACGTTTTCTAACATGGGTTTTGGATTTAACTCCGATGAAGTTAAAGGCAACACCACGATTACAGAAGCAGCTGAGTTATTGATGGAACAACTAGAGAAACTGAGGGCAGAGGAGAAGGAATTGAAGAAGAAAAGGAAAGAAGAAAGAAAAATGCCAAACAATTTGCAATTTTGGGGGTTTATTCACAAAACCAAGATTATCACGCGATCATTCTTTTCCCCAGCTAGCAGCCGTTATTTTTGACTGGAGAAAGTGCCATGTCAGCAGCAAGTAAACAATTCGGGAAATTGTGCAAGTACATATAGCTTTTTCCCTGTTTTAATAGGGTGGCCCTGCTCCTCTAGAATAATTTATGTTTTGTTTTAGACGACTTTGAACCGTTTTATGTCAACTATCCTGTCAATTTTGCTGCTTTTAAGTTGTAAGAATCAACATCAATTGATCGCTGGAACTTGGAGGAAAAGAACAGAGCAAATTTTTCTAATTTCCTACTATGATAAAAAAGTCAGTTTTGGGTCAATGTAGATGCAACAGTAACCAAATGTGATGTTACTGTTCATTTTTTCAGTTCTTACTTCTCCGGTCCTCCAAGTTTCACTGTTATGTAAAAAAAAAAAAAAAGCAATTTTCACTGCTTCCTTGTATATTTTGTCTTTCTATTTTGAGAAATTTGATTTTATATCTTGGAAATTGGTTACGGACATTTTAACTTAAAAAGTCACTGTGCGCGTCGTGTCCGCACTGATGCGGAGACTTTATTTTATTTTATTTTTTTTTTTTTACAACGCCACTTCAATCCTCTTTTGTTATTAGCAACTTGTAAAACGATTTTGTATTTTGATCAACTTGACCACAGCTGGATCAAATCCATATTTCACTACTATATAAAAGAGTGAGTTCCATTTTTACTGTTCATAAGTCGCGAGCCGAGGCGAATGGGTTTTTGGCTCGGCTCGATCGACTAAGCCGGTTTTTTATTTTTTTTGGACCTGTTCAAAACGGACACGGAGGTCCGTTCAGCAAGGACCAAAAGGTGGCTCAGCTCAACTAAGCCGTCTAAACCAATTTTTTTTTCTTTTCTTTTCTTTGACTGAACAGAACAAAAGGTCCGTTCAAAACGAACACGGAGCTCTTAAGGTTTTTTTTTTTTTACGTTTGATTCAGTATTTCAAGTTACGGATATTCGTTTCAAGCGATTTAAATTTTTTTGGAAATGTTGAATTGCATTCATGATAAATATATGATCAATAAATTTTAAATATAAAAAAAAAAAAGACTTTACATTAATTATGAAACGTAAAGTCGTGATTTTTGATATTTCTTTTCTATCTCAACCTCATTCCAATAACTTTNTGATCGATAAATTTTAAATATCAAAGTAATTTTACATTAATTGTGAAACGTAACGTCATGATTGTTTATATTTCTTTTCAATCCCAACCTCATTCCAATGTCCTTTTTTCGAACTTTATTTTCCTACAATTTTTCATTTGATTCCATATTTCACGATATGAATATCCATTTGGATCGATGTAAATTTTTTTAAAAAAAACTTAAAATGTGATAATAATAAATATATTGTCAATTAAGTTTATATATAAAAATTATCTTAAATTATTAAACGTAAAAACATAATCGTAATTTTTTTCTTTTCTACGCCACCCTCAACCCCCATAGTCACACCAATTTCTCTCAATTTCATTTTTATTCAGTTTCTATATTCAGCATGGAGCTGTATTTATTTTGTTTGTTTGATTCTTTAGAACTGCACTTTTCCAAGAAACGATTATGATTTGTTTGACCTTTTTTGTATTTGGATGTTTATGTGAAAAAGGAAGCTGTATTTGTCAGAGATATATCTTTTTCCTCTTTTTTTGGTCAAAGAAATGATGTTAATTTACTGCCATTTGACTTTTTTGTACTTTACGATTGCGTGTGAAAAGGCGAAAGTAAAATAGTCACATGTTTACATTGGTTGAATAAAATAGCCGGATTTTTTTTTTCCTTTGACTGAACGGAACGGACACAGAGGTCCTTGTTGAACGGACCTCTTGGAAGAAATTTAAGGATATTTTTATTTTTATTTTTTGTTTTTTTACTTTTGATTCAGTATTTCAAGTTACAGATATTCGTTTCAAGCACTTTAAATTTTTTTTAAAATGCTAAAGTCCGCCCATGATAAATATTTGATCGATAAATTTTAAATATCAAAAATTTTTTTACATTAATTGTGAAACGTAAAGTCGTTGTTTTCCTGCCTTTTCTACTCTCAGCTTGCTTTTCCCTCCATTTTAACACACAAGCTCCATACTCCACAATCTCTCTCTCTCTCTCTCTCTCGACATTTCTCTCTCACACACACTTTCCCTTCTCATTTTCTCACTCTGCAGTCGACGAAAATATTGAGCCCCTTCTTCGCCTCTCTTTTTTCTTCGGTTCTGTTTTCCCACGATTTTGTTTGTATAACATTTAATTTCACCGAAAGAAGTTCTAATCCTCTATTTTTGTTTTCTTTTGCAGAGATTTGAAGCTTCATCATAGATCAAACGAAAAAGTTAATGAAATAAGGTTTTCTGGTATGTAAGTATTGATTTTTCTATGAATAGAAGGTGCAGTGGTTCAATTTTACTGTATGTTCTAGATCTACAAGATTTTTTTTTAGAGGGCTATTATTTATTGTGCGAATTCGGTGACTGGTCCGTTTTTCATAATCGAGGGTTTAAGATTGTTCACAAGAAGTTCGGATTGAAAAACCAAATTTCTTTCTTTTTTTTTTTTTTTTTGTTGAATTGCTTGAAGTTATTTCGGTGGCTTCCTCCGATTTGAGTATGCAAGTTGTTGTTTGTTGCACTTTTTAGAGTCGAATTTCATTCTGTAATCTCTTTCATGATGTTTGGCAGTATGGATGTACTTATTAGACTTTGGAGGTCTATATGCGCTTCAAGATCATCAAGCAGGCAAGTTTTTTTTATTTTACAGTTTAAATTTGCTTTATCGTGTAGATTTTCACTTTAAAATGTTACTGAAAAATTGAGCGGTTGATTTAGTTATTTCAGTAGGGTTTATTTAAAAATTGCTTATTTGTAGTAGGTTTTATTAGGAATAGTTGATTCTCAATGTTTTCAAGACTTTAGGAACTTCTGTACAGCATCAAAAAAATTGATTATTACTTCAAATTGTTACTGAAATTTTAGACTGTTGATTTTATTATTAGTGGTTGTTGATTTGAAGTAAGGTTTATTAAGAATGAAAATCATCCATAATAATACATTGTAATCAATTGTGAGTCCCAATGCTTTGAAGACTATAGAAACTTTGCAATATCCAAATTTTGATTTATTGTGCTGCAAA